TCGTCATTTCAGGGGGGAATACTGCTGAAACCGGATGTAAGTCTCCCTAGCACTCCCCTTTTAGTGCGACTTTGATAAACTGCTGCAGCATGCAAGCACCCATATGCGCGTGTGTGCTGTAAATTTGTCAATTAGAGTGACAATATTTTTTTGTTTTTGTTTATTACAGAGGGGTTTTCTTTTCGCCTCATTTTAGTCGGAACCCCTTCTGCTTGACCGGAAAACCGCATTGGAGTCCGTGGGCTTGCGTCAGCATACTATGATTTTTACCTCAAGCCATGCTTTCACAACACACGAGTCGGTTTCTATCCTGCTAAAACGTGCTTCTAACGTCTGTACCTCGTAAGTGGTCCATTTGCTTCTCGTTATATACGCTATCATCACACAGGCGACTGAGAGTGACTGCTTCCGGGATTTTTGACGTTTATGTCTGTGCCATTTCCCCTCTTAGGTACGTGCCGAAGGAGAAGCTCGATCTAGGCACCGATGAGGTGGTCCTTTTGAAGCGCCTCATTGTCCAATTCACGCCCTCTCTCCTACCTCCGATCAATCCTAATGCAGACTCAACGAAACAAGAAATCCTTTTGACTGTCACTTATTCCCTCCAGGTACGTTCTGGATTAATAACTTCTAGCTTCCGTCCCACTGCCTATTCTCTTCCCTCACCTTTGGGACGCACCATGACTCTACCCCTCAAGCACGAGGTCACTTGTCTGCCAAAACCTCACCCAGGAGGCGAAAATGCATTGGAAGAACAGAGATGACGAAGTATAAGTACCCCGCAATACCGAAAACTTTTCTAGTTTGAACCCTCATCTCCATCGTTGTCATTTTTGTCAGCCTAGGTACTCCGGCCTAGGGCACGAAGACATATCTTCCGCCCAACCTGACATTGAACACTCAAAGGGTTGCGAAGAGATTTAAGGTTCAGATATCTTACGTTTTCATCATCCCCAAAGCAGACGAAGAAGAAGGTTCAAGGACGTGGTCCATGTCGTTGAACCTTCTTCTTCTTTGGGGGATGATGAAATCGCAGAGGGAGGTATAAAATGAAAGGGACTCCAGTGGTCGAACCAGATAAATGGCCCATAGACCGAAAGCTAGAGTGGTTAATCAGTAGCCGAAGTAGTATTGGACTGCTGTTGTCCATGGCCAAACCTCATTTCGGATACGGCGTAGATCCGCAGGTGTTTAAGGGTTCCATTTGCTGAATGACGCCAGCGAGGCAATCTGCCGCCAATGGACTCCCGATGGGACATCGAAGAAGTAACCCCCACCGACTTGTCTTTTTATGTGATGAATCAATTTCAGCAGCTTCCGTATCGTCGCAATGGAACATAGTCACTTCCAACTCCGTCGACTGAACCGCGTCACGAAGTCTGTGGGATGAATGACTAGCTGGCGGTCTTTGAGCCTTAAGCGAGGCATGGCACTTTGTCGACGTTCAGTTTTGCTGTCACATCAGGAGTATCTGTAGTAAATGAGTTGTAGTCGCGGTTTTATCCACGCGCTAAGGTCGTCTTTAAACTGGATGGTGGTCTACCCTGTGAGCTCGAAAGTTAGACAGAATGCTTTTATCTTTGGAAGGTCTTGTTTGGAAACAACGCTATTGGTACATTAGCCATCTCGGCTTTTTTCCGTTGATTGATTTCTAAATTGGCTTATCCATAAGATCCGATTCATCCAGATGGTCTCAATGCTGGCCGAAAAACTTTTTTCTGGACTTCTTTAACGTCGTGCTGTGCACTGTGTCAAGTCACACGACGCTCCTGTTATAACGGTGGCCAAAAGGCTGCGATATTCCCGTCTGACTAACGCCTCG